CACGGGGGCTTTTTGATAAGTGCTTACGTCACACCGCACAATACCCTTACAATTAACTACTTACTAGCAGGTGGTATATGTCAGAAAGGGGATACCACCTAATTAAACCGTTGCGTGGATGTGTCTTACATTTGGAAGAACAAAACCCATGCGCGTTGATCACTCAGACGTTACATCTACAATGCCGTGCTCATTACGCCATGAATTGCGCAAGGTTAATCAATCACTTGGGGAGGGTTCTCTGGGTCACGTGAGTCGTAATTGCCACGGTTAGGTAATGACACAACCTGTTGATTAATACCAAACGTGTTTGACAAAGTTGGTGGTTCAAGTAGTTTGTATATGTTCTGCATCAGGCGTGGATAGCTGTATATTGACGTGAAGGTAGGTTGAGCACATTTCTAGTTCAATTTGATTTGTAAATTAGCTCTAGTTTTGACGTTGGACACAAATATCTTGTGCATCAAATGATACCAATTATTAATAGATTTTTTTAATTATAAATGTTGTGTAATCTCGAAAAAGCAGTACACAATGGGGTGGCCCAGTCATCCAAGGCGCGGCATTTTGTTGTGAAGAGGTGTCTACCCGAGGAGCGTGCGGATCGTGGGTTTGAATCTCAGAATCGCACTGATTAGGACTGGAAGTCACCGTACCAATACAATTCCTTACTACCGACGTGCTGCTGGAATATTTTCTAGTGCGGCGTTAAACGACATACAACGCCTAACTTATACCTCACCACTGAAATAGGCCAACAGTGGATTTTGGCTTGGTCAGGTCCGGCATTGATTGTGGTAAACAGTCATATATAGGCTGTACGATATTCATAAACGAACACAGAGGTTAATTCTGAAGTATCGAATGTTCACGTTCAGATGCGCAAAACAAGTGCATTGATTTTTGTTATATTACAATGTATGGTAACTAAGTTTACCTGTTTATGGATCGACATCGTATATAGTATATAGTACCTCGCTATAGAACCTGGCTCGTTATGCACCTCGATAGTCGAGATATGTGTGTGTGTGTGTGTGTGTGTGTGTGTGTGTGTGTGTGTGTGTGTGTGTGTGTGTGTGTGTGTGTGTGTGTGTGTGTGTGTGTGTGTTCCCCACAGTTATTGTCTGGATGATTATATCCGCTACATTATATACGCCATATATATATATATATATATATATATGGCGTATATAATGTGCAAAAAATCATGAGAAACATGCTTTAGCTGGCCTACTATTTACAAGATAATTGCTAGTTATCGACCTGTGCCAGCTTATCTAGCTCGTTGCGATATGCATGTGTCTTGCGTATAATATTCACAATATGATATACTGAGGAATACATGATCTTTTTATTAAGAATTTCAGTATTAAATAGAACAGATAACAGTCGTGTTACATTCAACGTCTGCCATTATCTTGCCAGGGGTATTATCACATACTACTCACGCCACAATCGGGTCGGGATTATCAAAACATTCGTGATACGACACATTGCATTGGCGCCAAGACAGACATCAGCCCGTGCTGTGATATAGGCTATGTATGAAGTGTGGTATCGACGCTCTCTCACATACACACACACACACACGACAGACATCAGCCCGTGCTTTGATATAGGCTATGTATGAACTGTGGTATCGACCCTCTCTCTCACTCTCACACACACACACACACACACACACGCCATGACAGACATCAGCCCGTGCTGTGATATAGGCTATGTATGAACTGTGGTATCGACCCTCTCTCTCACTCTCACACACACGAAAACGCCATGACAGACATCAGCCCGTGCTGTGATATAGGCTATTTATGAACTGTGGTATCGACCCTCGCTCTCACTCTCTCTCACACACACACACACGCCATGACAGACATCAGCCCGTGCTGTGATCTATGTATGAACTGTGGTATCGACCCTCTCTCTCACTCTCACACACACACACGCGCCATGACAGACATCAGCCCGTGCTGTGATATAGGCTATTTATGAAGTGTGGTATCGACCCTCTCTCTCTCACACACACACACACACACACACACACACACACACACACACACACACACACACACACACACACACACACACACACACACACACACACACACACACACACACACACACACACACACACGCCATGACAGACATCAGCCCGTGCTGTGATATAGGCTATTTATGAACTGTGGTATCGACCCTCTCTCTCTCACTCACCCCCCCACACACACGCCATGACAAACATCAGCTCGTGCTGTGATATAGGCTATTTATGAACTGTGGTATCGACCCTCTATCTCACTCTCACACACACACACACACACACACACACACACACACACACACACACACACACACACACACACACACACACACACACACACACGCCAAGACAGACATCATCCCGTGCTGTGATATAGGCTATGTATGAACTATGGTATCGACCCTCTCTCTCTCTCTCTCTCTCTCACATACAACTAGTGATACGAACGTTACGTCAGGTTGTGTAGAACGTTACAAGATTTCACTGCTTCATCCAATGGGTGTCCAGTGTGACATGGGCACCTGTAGTGTGTAGAGTCGGTATATATAGACTGTGGGGTGTATATAGCGTGTGTTGTGTGAGGCTTGGCGGTACGTAGTCTGATTTCTCTCCTACTGTAACAGGCTTGGTGGTACGTAGTCTGATTTCTCTCCTACTGTAACAGGCTTGGTGGTATGTAGTCTGATTTCTCTCCTACTGTAACAGGCTTGGTGGTACGTAGTCTGATTTCTCTCCTACTGTAACAGGCTTGGTGGTATGTAGTCTGACTTCTCTCCTACTGTAACAGGCTTGGTGGTTTGTAGTCTGATTTCTCTCCTACTGTAACAGGCTTGGGGGTATGTAGTCTGATTTCTCTCCTACTGTAACAGTAGTGCTAAAACACCAGTGCTTGGCTGTAACGGCACCATGGTTTTGCATACAGTAAATATGGAAATATAACAAAAGGATTCTCTATTTATGATTTATGTAGGTATGACATTCACCATCAAAATCTGAGTTTCGTTCCATTAATATGACATGCACGAATAGAATCCACCAACTAATAAAATTTTTATACATATTTACAAGTGCACACTTCACAAGTAGTCTGACACTGAGCATCACTTCACCACAGTTCCATATCGTGATCTTCTGGCAATCTATAGATATCTATATCTACGAAATTATATATGTTTGTGAAAATATATTTGACTGTGGAAATATTCCTGTCTGAAAATATATTTTTGTGAATATATATAATGAGTGAGCGTGGGCATGTACAGATGAATCCATGAAAGGTGCATGTGCGAACACACTGAACAGACCAGTACGAGGGGTTGATCATGCACCCTTTCCTCGTGTGTTTGTTGTTTAACGATGCACTAATCCAGCTATACATAACAGGGATTTGTAAATAATCGAGTCTGGATCTGACAATCCAGTGATTATGAGCAACGACCCACGACGTCGATGTGTTTCCATTCAAAGTCTTGACACGACATGAACATGGAGACGACACAGTGGTACCAATCCACAACAAGACACAATAAAGAAGTTGGCATCCATTAATTCCCTTCCTTATGTGTATCACTTCTAAATGCCATTCCAATATATATTTCAAGTTTGTTTGCAGGGTAAAATGTGTTAAACCTGTACATACCTACATTATTTATGTAAAGGCGTTTGTATACTAGTATATATGCCAGGTTGTGTGTCACTATGTGTGTCAGTGACTATATACATGCAATATTATGCACACTGTACATGTAGTTGTATGTATTTATGCGTACGTTACACATGTTATATCACTGTCTGAATGTATGACTATTTGTATTCGTGTCTGTGTGCGTGTGTGGGTGTGTGTGTTTGTGTGTGTAGAATCGGCGTATGTATGTAGGTATAGATGTTTGTAACATGTGTTTGCAAATGCGTACTGCTGTAGGTCTATATGCATTTGTATATGTATCAGTTGATGTATGTGTACGTGTATATGTTGAAACGTATGCTTACACATTTGTACATAATACGTACGTTCACAGAAAAGTGGCTCGCGCCGCCACACATGCAGTGACCCGGTATCCACAATACCTATTGCTATATATTCAGTAGAGTTGTTGAATAGAATACGAATTCTTTAGTGACGTGCTATTTTGATTACGCATTGAATCTCTCTCTCTTTCTCTCTCTCTCTCTCTCTCTCTCTCTCTCTCTATCTCTCATACACACGAACCATTGACTGTGAAGGTAACAATTTACTGTGACGTCACTGAAAATACGGGTCTATATTGCATACACAATAGTGCCTTAATGACGTCAACAATGTAGAGCAAATTACATCGTTATTACACGTGGTTAGTATGTTATAACCGTGTCCATGAGATAACAGAGATAATTGTCTATGACGTCATAGTACTACCCATTACGTCGACAATTATGTCTATACTACACTAACACACACTTTTGTCTAAATAGCGTCAACAATGTTGTAGAGTGAGTTTTATTTCGAAAAAAATCTTTATTTCTGTATAAATTACCACCAAAGACAATAAATAGATCTTAATTGTGCACCTCCCCTTTTCAAAAAAGCTCACCTTGAACAATGGGCCGGTAATGTGCATATATTGCCTCATCTGAAACCGTAAACATTATTTGGTTTGAAAGACATTCAAAGATTATTATCATGTAGATCTAGTGTGTATTGTAACGTGTGCCTATTTCTGTCCAAAAATGTCTATACTATGCTGCACCGGGCTTGATAATACATGTGTCTAATGAAATTTTCGCACTGCCTCGCATTTTAGGAGTTATTTCTACACCAAATACTGTCATCGCTAAAATAAAATGCCCTTCCTCGTCTGATCAAACTCTACACACATTCCTGTTTCTCTTTGCCCCAATTCTCCTTTTGTCAAGTTTCATTCCCAACAACACGCGAGTCAGTACAAAAATGATGAAATATTTATGATCAAAGAACGATAACTCTATAAACTATCACACTGTTTCGCGCCAAATTGGGCTCTGCGCATGACCCCTAATTGTCTCCTTCCCGATCAACAGAGATGGCGAACAACTCAGACTGTCAACGACTTAATGGCAAAAATGGCGATGTACCCGCCAAAAGACAACGAGTAATGGAGACAGGGAAGATCACAGTTGTTTTGGGAACCCAGTGGGGCGACGAGGGTAAAGGCAAGGTCGTGGATCTGTTAGCAGCCGACGCGGATGTGGTGTGTCGATGTCAGGTAAATACTCTACTCTCATACAACACATGTTATAGAAACCAACATCCAATCTAGCACCTCACACTGTGTCATCAAACTTGATCGCTTGCCAAAATCAAGCTGGTGGTTATGAATTGCACGCAAGGCCATGGGTTTGTGTGTTGTGTTGTTTTTACTGTAATCTGTCCTGATATTTATAGATATGTAGGCCTCGGTCGGTAGATCTACCGAGGAAACACATGTTGCATGACTGCCTTCTAGTTGCCACTGGAAACATAGTTCAGCTGCACTAGCGTTTTTCTACATCTACACTACAGCTTCTCGCTCTTCCTCAATAAAACGATACATTTCAGAAATATGAAAAATTAACTAATCCATTCTGACAGTTAACTCCAACAGAAACTAAATTAGAGCATACAGAATAGAAGAAAACATACAGAAGGACACAGATAAATTTATTCACTTTTTTTTGTCAAGAGTAATGCTTGACTTGGTTTGGCGTCATATACGCAGAGAAGAATTGAACAGGCCTAATTTCAAGATTCACTTCACACTACTTTACCATAGAATCTACTTAAAAAAACAAAAAGGAAATACACTTAGAAAAGCCCTTCTGTATATCTGCCTGGGTGCATCATGTTCTAATTCCTGTTACACAGTAAGATACAATTCCCTCATTCAAGGACAGGAAAGAAGTTTAATTGGTATAATTACCCAACAACATAAACTGACATTAAATCCAGAAATAAAGTTACATTAATTAAAGATATGTCTACAAAATAAAAAACAATAAAATCCAAATGGAGCCCAGATCAAGCCTTTATTTCTGGTCTTGCTGGTCAGGTAGCCTAGTGGTTAAAGCGATCGCTCGTTCACGCCGAAGACCCGGGTTCGATTCCCAACACGGGTACCATGTGTGAAGCCCATTTCTGGTGTCCCCAGCCATGATATTGCTGGAATATTGCTAAAAGCGGCATAAAACCATACTCACTCACTCTAGACTTGATTTGACTCCTTTACTAATTTATTTTTTTGGGTCTGTGAGAGGACTTCCTTACAAGATTTTCTCTATTAAACGAAGTTGACTAATAACAATTCAGATGAATTTTTTTAGACAAACTGTAAATTGACAATTTGGCCATATTTGATGTTCGTGTTTGCTCACCATAAGGAAATTATTTACATGAACCAGCACACAGAAATGTGTGGCTATCAAGTGAGATAGTTAACGATGACTGTCAAAAGATTGCCTGTATGGATGTTTCAAGTGCCAGGGCAGGGAAAGCATGGTCTCTTGGAATCAATGCAGAGCTCTTTCAGTGATGAATTGTTTGATAGACATTACTTATATCTACTTCAGTGATGTTAAATATGAACGTCTCGGTATTCAATGTTTCAGAGCTACAGATAAGCTGCGTATTTACGTAAAATACCCCCCCCCTCCCAAATATTCAAAACCTAATTACTTTCCATTAACTTGTGTACAGAAAAGTATGCATTAAATGAAAAACTCAGATGTTTAAAAACAGCATGCGTATATACCCAATAAAGCTTTTTCAGCATGCGTACAATGGAGCTTATTTCCGAAGCACAATTATGAGCTAATTAACTTTCCAATTCAAGCCTTTAGTAAGAACCCTTATATATATATATACCAATATTTTTTCACTCATCTATTCATCACTCTTTTGGTTTTTTTCCCAAAATGAGCTAACATTTTGAGATTTAAAAAAGAAAAAACGAAAAAATAATATTTTAAAATATTGGTTACCCAATGAGAAATGTAATAACCCAATTAAAATAGAAACCTTCAAGTAAAAACTTAATTGCTCAAAAAGTTATCTGGAGCTCTGATGTTTGCAAGTAATGACAATTATTTCCCTTTTCACCATAACCTTGCAACATTATACTATAACCAATAGTAAGAAATATTGAAGTTTCATATTTTGTCTCTAACCAACATTCTCCCAGCCAGTCACAACTGACATGAACTCCAATATCTGAGCTTTGTGAGGCAGGCTATGACAACCTCAGTGTACAGTTTTACTGAGAATCAACCTTTTGTCTTATATGTATATCACACTGCAGTCTTAGTGAGTGCTCGTGACTCGGTTACAAAAGGTATTGTTGGTGTGACACGGATACTTGCCACGTAAAACTAAGTCCAATAAATGTAAAAAGTTCGAAGTAATGTTTTAATCTACTAAACATCACCATGCCATGGTTTCCATTTAGTGAATTTTCTATTTTTCTTATGTTGTTTTCAAATTTGATAATGATATAGAAGAATGTTCTACAACATAGCGATAAAATGGTGAACATGTCCAAATGCCGTTATTCTCCATCATGACCGTTGAATCACCAGAGACAGAAGACTAAGTCATGTGGTTTTTTAAAAAGCTTTGGAAATGAACACAGCCCTCAGGGTCCTCTTAACAACATTCATCTTCCCGAGGCAAGAGTTAACTGACTATAAAAGTCCAGTTTCCACCCTTGCCAAACTAGGCTGGTATTATGGAGTAACATTTTGGCTGGACTAACTAGTCTATGCATAGTCCAATCAAAATCGCACACCAAAATCGAAATCCGGTTCACAAAGTGTCATGCAGATTTCGGATCGCCGCGAATAGCTGCAAAATTGCTGATGCGGCGTTAAGCAATATTCACTCACTCACTCATGCAGATTTCGGTCGACTGCAGGATTTGCAAAGCATGTGCACCGCTTATTCGTCAACAGATATTTTCTAAATCTTTTCATGTTTTTAATCAAGGTGCTCACGTGATTTGATGCACTTCGCGATGTAAGACTCGTTTTATCACAATATAGATCTTGATTATCGATCAGATTGTCTTGACTGGGCGCCACCGTTTTGTTTGAAGCAAATGCAAGTGATACGAGAGGTTAAATCTGATTGGTCAATAGGAGAGGCATAGAAAGGACATAACTCGTAATAGCCACTGGTGGTGATACGATCGAGCCCAGGAATTCCAGCCTAGTTCGGCAAGGGTGGAAACTGGACTTTTTAAGTCAGTTACCGTATTTGACGTAATAAGCGCCCCGCTCTAATAAGCGCCCACAGTGACATTTGCTGATATATTGGCTAGTGAACAATCCCAATTAGCACCCCTTCCGATTGATCAATGTACACAAGACTTATTTATTCTCGTATAATACACACTTGTGTGTTATAGGCACCCATAATTATGGGCAATTAAATTCTGGAAAAATATATCTGTCGTACATAAACATTTTAGGTTGTCAGCATAACCATGAAATTTATCTTTCAACTCTGTTTTTTTCCACCAAAATAATATTCTAATAAGAGCCCCCTATTTCTAATTTTGAGAGCGCCCTGCGCACTTATTACGTCGAATACAGTAACTCTCTTGCCTCGGGAAGATGAACAACATTAGGCAAACACAGCAAACTGGCACAGCAAACTTGCACAGCAAACTGGCATAGCAAACTCCCCAGTACCAATTGCTTCCCTGCTATGTTTTAGTGTCAACATTATCATGACTGCTCATAATATAACAATATGTCATTTTAGGTGACAACAAAGTGATTGATGACTTGGTTTTCAGTTTTTCCATTTCAGAAAATAAACTCTTTGTTGACAGTTGAGGGATGACTGTTTGATCAAGTGTGGATGAGATTTACAATACACTACTGTTTCAAAACTCTTGAAAACAGACTTTTTATACTGTCTCTTTATTGTTAATGCTGTAAATATAAAAATATACATTGTAGTCTTTCGATAGGAATTGTTTAGATGGATTCTTCATAATTTATGATGCAAAGGTAGGAAACTACAATGGTGCTTTGATCTTTCAGGGCGGGAACAATGCCGGACACTCAGTTGTTGTTGATGGGAAAGAATTCGCGTTCCACCTACTGCCCAGTGGAATCGTCAATCCAGGATGCAAAGCTCTTATTGGTGAATATTTTAGTTCTTTCTATAACAGCAAGAATGGGTGGCCCAGTTGTGTAAAGCACCACATTTCGCTGTGTAGAGTTTCGTCCCTTGGGCAACCAAAAAACAATGATCATGGGTTCGAATTCCGGTTAGCCCTGATTATGTTTGAAAGTTTGTCAGCACCTCACCCAGGCTGGTGGGTTTCACAAGTTGTTAAACGTGAGACCTGCATCCCCACAGTAAACTGACATGCGGTAACTAGAATACTACTGCTGCAGCGAATACAGTATGAGGCAAATACGATACGTATCACAAATATAGGCTAACAAATACGAATATATATTCACGAATACATAAAGAAGTCCACAGTTAAGGAAGAGAATTTATGGATGTCAACTTCTTCATTTTGAGGAATACAACGTTTCGGAGTATATGCTTACTCCTTCATCAAGATTCTTTTTACGTATGGAAATGTTTGACCAGTCACCGTTTGAGTTTTCCTGCACCTGATTGTGAAAACGTTATGTTGACATATAAAAAGTCAAACTGCAACAAAATACATCTTTTAACAAGTCAAGTTTGGCATTTCTGATATATGTATCCATTCTTCTGACAACTAAGGTTCTTTTCAAGGCATCATTGGCGATAATCTGATATATAATAGTGTGTTTGTGCGCGATTTCTTGGAAATTAATGTAAACAATATTTAATGGAATTTTTAATAAAATCAATATTAGATAGACATTGAACACATTTCTATAACCAAATAGTGAAGTAATAGGATTAAATTACGTCCTTCGGTTTCTATGTTTTGACTGTTACGTCTGGTGTTACATGCCCTTGGTAATCAGCTGATAATGTCTGCGTCGGGGGGGAAAACATCGTGTCAGTGATAGACTTAGGTTTATTAAAATTGTACGTAAATGTATGTCATGAAATTGCTCAGGTGGAAACATTTCAGTGATATTTTTGTGAAACAAACAAGCAAAGCATCGTGACAATGCCGCTTTTTGCTTAATGTTTTGGTTTGCAGTAACATAAGGGGCCTTGCAAACTGACACAAGTTACGCTACTGCATGTCTTGTATATATTCCATTTTGCACATCTCACTGTGATCAATAATCGTTCAACTGAAAAAGCCCTTTTTAAAAATATAAATTAATATTTGCCACAGATAACAAATTCAATACATGAAGGGATATGGTTTGATTGACCAAATACGCGAGTGAAATGTAACAGCCCTACTATTCAAATAGTCACTCACTCACTCACTCACTCTCTCACACACGTACACACACAGAGTATATCTAAATGTTAGTAGAGAAAATCAATACAAAATGAACACATGAGTTTCTACATAGGTATTCTTTATCGTGTATATGTGTCAGGTGTAAATTCACAGTGGCACCACTCATACTCGTGTAGGTGCCCCATGTCAAGGCTGACCTTGAAGTTGAAGGTCATACTTGTACACTAGTTTTGTTACATTACTCTTATATATGCTCATATAGGTGCCCAAGGATATTTTATGGCTGACTTTAAACTAAAGATCCAGGTGATACTTGTAAACTAGTTTTTTTTACCTTGTCGTGCTTATGTGCTCATATCAGGCCTAAAAGTTTAAATTTTTACCAAGTAGCCGTATGGCTCAAGCATTTTGTTCAGGTAGCCAGTGGTAATATCAAGAAGCCAATATTGTAGGTAGCCAAAAGCATGTGAAATTATCTTTTATCAAATAACCATTATAATATGTACAAGTCATAGCACTAGTCTTGAAATTGTATATTAGTTAAATCTGTACTTGTTTTTTGTTATTTGTGACTCAATCAATGATGCAATTTATGTTACTAGATTATTTAGGTATATCCCTGCTTATCCAGTGAGCACTATCATCTGAAATAAAATGCTAATTACATAAATATTTATGTATTTCTGTTCATTGTTGACTTTAGGAGGTATTATTCGAAAGTACAATTGTAGGCACACGTTTTCCACAATCAGCTTTTATTCATTTTGTGTCTTCAAATGTGAAGCAACAGAATTTAGTTGCCACAAGATATTTTTCAAGGTAGTCACTTGGCTACCTCTGAATTTCAGACAGTAGACAAATTGAAATTTAGGTCGAATTGGCGACTGTTTTAGTCGCAACTTTGAGGCCTGCATATAGGTGCCCCAAGGTATGCTGTGGCTGACTTTAAAGATCTAGGTCATACTTACAGATTAGCTTCGTTAGAACTTGTGATCATTAAAACTCAACTATTTATGATGTGGTTTCATTAGGAAGGTCAAGGTTACAGTAGATGTCATTCAGTATTGATGTGGTTTTATACTGGTTTTAAGTAATGATAATGTTTTATACACCACACATATTGTTTATTATTGAAGATTGAAGAAGCTTCGTACAAAAGTTGATACTGGTTCAACATTTATTGTTAATCATTCAATTTATCTTCAGGCACTTTATGTTGCAGTATATAGATGCTGCCAAGTTAGGTTGCAGTTTACACCTGAATATTAAAACATACAGGATTGCAGCTATCCCATGCCTGACTCAATTCAATTGACGTTGGGGGGCACAAGTGGCCCAGTCGTCTAAGGCGCCGCGATTCGCTGTGCAGAGTTGTATCCCTATGATTGTTGGTTCAAATCCCGGTTCGCCCTGATTATGTTTCTAGTTTTTTTCAGCACCATACCCGTGCTTGTGGGTTTCACCGAAGTGGTAAATGTCTGAGACCTGCATCACTTTGGGCTTTCCTCCCACATTAAGCTCACACGCCGTGATATAACTGGAATACTGTTAAAAGCAGTGTTAAACCCAACTCACTCACTCACACACTTGACGTTCCTTGACTGTTTGACAGGTAGAATTTTGTGTTAAGCTTATCTGTTGTATGAAAAATGAAATTGCCATTAAAATGTTACTGCAGGAAGCTGACTTGGGGGAATATAGCTTTTCAAGTATCAGATCATGAAGGAATTGTCACATTTTGTGAAACCTGATATGGATCAGTCTGAACTTGATCATGAAGACTTGCTCCAGATTTACACAGATTCCTCCAAAATATCCTATAGACAGCAGCACATACTGGTAGATGTACTGCATCTTCAGTGTTACTGAGGACTTAGTCTGTCTTACAGACCCTGATACAAATATATATCAAATACAGCCCATGCAAGTCTATAATGTTTGGCAAGTCTAGATCACTGCAGTATCTGAAAATGAAGAGAGTCACTGGGCTCCTTTTTATTATATTTTTATTAAGATAACTTAACAACTGTTTTTTTCTGTACCATATGTTCATTTCAGAGACTAGATGTTGGTCTCCTGAGGACTAGGCTTCCTGACTCTTACATGCAGGGTAGTAACAGATTATAGTACACATAATTCTTTAGTTGACTTACGACCACAATAAATTGAACATTAGATTTTCATAATTTCATTATAAATGTAATTTTCTAATAGAAGATTTAAGATTGGAAGCATTTTATTCTATATAAACATATTATGTTACTTTTTTCAGACATCTATACAGATGTGATTTCCATGAATCATGAATGTTTAATCATGAATGTTTAAGAGGGGTTTTAAAGTGAGGTTGGTGGTGATGAAAATCTATTATTCATTGCCTAATCAGTATGGATAGTGAGAGGATATTGAACATGTGGAATGAATAGTTAAGCAGCTGGACACATCCCCACGATCCCATGTCTAGGTGTGTGATTAGCTGTTGCACCTACATGGAATCAATATCAGGATGTTTTGCCCAGTGGTGAAAGCATTTGTTTGTTATACCCCCGTTTACGAGGTAAATAGGGGGTATATAGCATTCCGTCTGTCCGTCCGTCCTTCCATCCTTCCGTCAGAGCTTTTGTACGGCCCATAACTTTAACCATGCACCCTAGCTTCACAAAACTTTCTACACATATTTACCACAATGAGTACTTGTGCCTTTTGCTAGTTTGAAGATTCTGAACTTTTTAATTTTTGCCATTTCCATGGAAACATTAAGAAACATCAAGAATGTATGTTGTGCATTGATTATCCCACACTAGATTGAAATTATTTTGCAAAAAAATGTGTTCCTTTCAAACATAATGCATCCTCATGGGGTTACAAAGGAAAGGGCAGTTCCTCTGACTTAAAGCAACAGGTATATTTCATTAATTAACAAACTATTTACTATTTGTTGTTGACAAGCGGGGATAATTGGGGTATGTGAGCTTTGCTCACTTCTTTCTTGTTATGCCAAGGGCCTGGGTTTGATCCCCACATGGGTACACTGGGTGAAGCCCAGGCCTGGTTTCCCCTGCCTGATATTGCTGGAATATAGCTCAAAGTGGCGTGAAGCCATAATTACCTATTCACATGTTTTTGCAATTCTGAGATGTAGATGTACAGCATTAAAGTGTTGGATATTGTGGACTGTCTACCATTATAGTACCAATAGTTACTTAGTTTGATGTTTAACACCACCCTCGGCAATATTCCCACTACATGGTGGCGGTCTGTATATAAAGTCAAGTTTTAACAAGACAGTGATTGTCATCATGCTTGTCGTAAGAGTTGACTTATGAGATTGGGTGGTCAGGATCACTGACTTGGTTGATGCATGTCAGCTTATCGCAATTGCGTGGATCAATGCTCATGATGTCAATCACTGGATTGTCTTGTCCAGACACGATTATTTACAGACCATCGTCATATAGCTGGAAAATTGCTGAGTGCGGCATTAAACAACAAAGGAACAAAACAAACATGAACATCTGCTCTTGGATGGAGTGAGTGTATTCAGAACAGCTAGCATGTCATATTTCTGTCTCGAAAATGAACAAAATGGGGCAGTTCAGAATGGAACATAATATTGGCTGGGCTGTATATGTTGTGGATATTTTTAGACCCTATCATTTTGGAGCATCAAAGGATCTTATGTTACAATTGAAATGTTCAAATCAAGATGGTAAAGAAATCAGCAGAAATATTCTTTGAGAAAGCTTCTTTCATTTTGATTAGGTGACAGTAGTTAGCTCAGGGTTTCAGCTGACAGGACGTCCTACAAAGTGTTTGTCAGCTCTTTCTGCTGAGAGGTATCATGTCGGAGTATAGATCTGATTTACATTAAGTTTTTGTTTGAAATTAGACCAGACACCAGGACTATTTGCCTTCTTCATTTTTCAAGTCCTTCAATGCAAAGTTTGAAAGTTTGAAAACAGCACCTGCCACATGTTAATTGTGTTGTGATTTCTAGGACTTGTCCTGCATTTTCTTCCTGAGTGATGTGCATTAATAACATTCTGACTTCTTTAATTATGTCTTCAGACTTGGCATTTGAAGTATACACTGTGATATTGATTGTCGAAATCAACATGAACATCTGTGAAGCTCCATCTATTGTCTGTTTCTAGCAAGCCTCAACATACATCCGGGTCTTGGGTTGAATGATTGATTACTAATAGTTTGCATTATATATGATTCAGATTTGATTTTGTAAAGCAAAAATTGTATATATTTGCAGGAAATGGCGTTGTCATTCATCTACCAAATCTGTTTGATGAGATTGCCAACAATGAAAAGCATGGCCTCCCTGATTGGAAAGGGAGACTACTCATCTCAAACAGAGCTCACTTGGGTAAGTTTTGTTTGTGTGAGCATGATGTATGACCCAGATGCATTGATTGAGTGAAGACAGCCTCTGTAGGAGCTCCATGTAGAGTACATTGAAATGATGAGACGTACATGAACGGTTGGGAAACTGAGACCAGCAGGAAACAGGCATGTGTCATGACACTCTCTCCCATGTCACCCATACACTCCTGGTGTAAACAACTGACGGACGATATTGTTATCTTCTTGTGTTACTATTTGTTTTGAGTTTCAGGATCCTGTTGTGTCGATTCTGTAGAACACACTTCCTGTGAAACATTCTACAACTGATCACATGATCTCATGGACTTGCACCATCTGGCTGACATCATTGATTGTGGTTCCACAAATGATGCTTCCACATTGTAAATCTATTGATACATACAGTTGTTGTTCCCATTACCATATATCAATGTCTATAAATGTGACTTATCTGTGGAAACCTTTGAAATCAGTGCAAATGTATATACCCTGGCTGTACTACAATCAGTGCAAATGTATATACCCTGTCTGTACTACGATCAGTGCAAATGTATATACCCTGTCTGTACTACGATCAGTGCAAATGTATATACCCTGTCTGTACTACGATCAGTGCAAATGTATATACCCTGTCTGTACTACGATCAGTGCAAATGTATATACCCTGTCTGTACTACGATCAGAGCAAATGTATATACCCTGTCTGTACTACGATCAGTGCAAATGTATATACCCTGTCTGTACTACGATTAGTGCAAATGTATATACCCTGTCTGTACTACGATCAGTGCAAATGTATATACACTGTCTGTACTACGATCAGTGCAAATGTATATACCCTGACTGTACTACGATCAGTGCAAATGTATATACCCTGTCTGTACTACGATCAGTGCAAATGTATATACACTGTCTGTACTACGATCTGTGCAAATGTATATACACTGTCTGTACTACGATCAGTGCAAATGTATATACCCTGACTGTACTACGATCTGTGCAAATGTATATACACTGTCTGTACTACGATCAGTGCAAATGTATATACCCTGTCTGTACTACGATCAGTGCAAATGTATATACACTGTCTGTACTACGATCTGTGCAAATGTATATACCCTGACTGTACTACGATCAGTGCAAATGTATATACCCTGTCTGTACTACGATCAGTGCAAATGTATATACCCTGTCTGTACTACGATCAGTGCAAATGTATATACACTGTCTGTACTACGATCAGTGCAAATGTATATACCCTGTCTGTACTACGATCAGTGCAAATGTATATACACTGTCTGTACTACGATCTGTGCAAATGTATATACACTGTCTGTACTACGATCAGTGCAAATGTATATACACTGTCTGTACTACGATCTGTGCAAATGTATACACCCTGACTACTACGATCAGTGCAAATGTATATACACTGTCTGTACTACAATCAGTGCAAATGTATATACACTGTCTGTACTACGATCTGTGCAAATGTATATACCCTGACTACTATGATCAGTGCAAATGTATATACCCTGTCTGTACTACGATCAGTGCAAATGTATATAACCTGTCTGTACTACGATCAGTGCAAATGTATATACCCTGACTACTATGATCAGTGCAAATGTATATACCCTGTCTGTAGTACGATCAGTGCAAATGTATATACCCTGACTGTACTACAATCACAACTGCAGCCCAGCAGCAAAGCATGCGGAGGTGTAAATGTTTTAGTTGAAAAATATATACTACTCAACAGTTTCTTAGGACCAAATTTTCATTTTTAGGTGTGGTTCTTGGCATATGTTTAGTAGTATTTGTTTATCTTTGTTTTCTCTTAGATGCTTTGGACTGCCTCCGTGGTCTAGTGGTAGAGCATCCGAGAGCGGAAGGCCCGGGGTTCGATCCCCGACCGCGTCATACCAAAAGACGTTAAAAGATGGTACTTGTTGTTACCCTGTCTGCCGCTCGGCATTAAGGGGCTAAAACAAGGACTGGTCGGCTCGGAGTCAGTATACTGTTTCTGAGTGGGGTATTCTTGTCAAACTGCAGCATGGTATCTCAGTGAACTAGCACTATAAATCGGCATCAGTCCGGACTAGTACAAGCAGCCACACAAACACACACACGTACATGCACGTCGCTATATAAGTGTAATAATCTTGGACACGACGTTAAACCCCATTTCACCTCACCCCAATCTTAGATGCTTCATTGCTTGTATAACTCCATGACTCCAATTTGTTAACTTGGATAGCTGCCAGTAAAATAAAGTGAAAAGAGGCAATGCGTTTGATCTTTAGTGAGATAAAGGGAATCTATTTCCTGTTATTAAATCACCAATTAACTGTTTTAATTTACGAAGCTTTGTTTTGTTTAACTGTCAGCTTTTATATTGACAATATCCTATCCACACGTACGCATTCTGATGTCACAATAGAAATTGATTTGATTTTCATAGGTTAGGTATCACATGTTAGGTCAACAGATCGGGACATCTGATGTTAAGAAATTAAAATGTCATTATTGGTTATGTTTTTGTCATGTTGCTTTTTGTTTTAAAACAAACATATAATTTAAGAGAATTATGGAAATGCAGTGATGGTTTACGTGAGATATATACCGGTAGTCCAAACAAATGTTATGCTGTATTTGTGTACCAGCTGTTTTGAGATGATCCTGCTATCCTGACTTTCTGTTTTCAACAACAGATTATTGATTATTATATTTTTGCTGTCAGCTGGCTTGGCAATCTAGATTTAGGCGTGGTTCATTTATACTTTCTTTGCAGAAAATATATATTATGAAATAAAGAAATAAAATAAAATTGGCCTTTATGTTGCAAAATGGTTTTAATGATAGTCATTTTGATTGAAATTTTTGTTTTCATGGTCAAGCATTAGCGCACGGCTTGCAGGCATCGCTAGTGGAACCTCAAACAGCTAGAAATATATGTGAGATCTTCTAACCACCCCCCCCCCCCCTCCCCCCCTCATCATTATGGCTTCTTTCATCATTATCCCTTGCAGCATGATGCATCAAACATTCCTGAGTGTTTTTGCAAAAAAGTGCACCTTACTGTAATGGGGTCGAGTCTAATTTAATAAATTCACTAACCCAAATTTCATCATGTTCATGTTCATGATGTCAATCACTGGATTGTCCCATCCACCAGACTCAATTATTTACAGACCGCTGTCATGTAGCTGGAATATTGCTGAGTGCAGCGTTAAACAAAAAAACAACCAACAAACCAACCAATCATGATGTTCATTTCCTTTTGCGAATTGTCAATGAAGACATAAACAGTGATTGTGTTGTTTTATCGTGAACAAATAATGGTATTTTTTTGTTTCCAACCAAAGATGAAGCTGTGTCATTGCCAACTAAAAACCAGGTTGTGTAAGTGTCATTGACAATCAATGGTTTGTCATTGGCATCCATTATCGGGCTTGTTATCACACATTGGAGGTGACATTAAGTAGTGGCAGGGTTCTGCCCACCGTTATGTTATAGATGCAGATATTTGCCCTTAAGTCCCTTACTTGTGCCAGGATCCGCTGATTGTTTCAGAACCATAACCGTTCTGAAAGTTTCACCAAATGAGTTTCATGAGGGTCCGAAATGGTCAGGTTTTAATTTCATTTACATAGTCTATTTTAAACAAGGTAGAGATCACAGTTCTTATGTTATTTTTCAGTTTTCGATTTGCACCAGAAAGTGGATGGGATGCAGGAATCAGGGCGTGGCACGAAATTGTAAGTTTATCGATTGTTAAATTTGGACAATGATATGAACAACGATTATGACTGAAATTATGTGTGACTGATCGCAGGGACGGCAATTGTAATTTGTAGGGTTTCTGGAATTTGGCACTGATGACCCTGTAGAACACTAGACTTGATGTGTCACATGTCCTTCAATGTCCTTGATATGACCATAATGTGGTCCCTAGATTTAAATACTTTTCAGTGATTTATCCAGGATTCAGATTAACTTGTGAAAAAATATTATTAATAATAATTGTTTGCTTCTTATTGCCTGAAATTGCATTCAATACAATAATGCCCCTTCTCTTCTTTGGTCCGTTACAAAATCATATTTAGTTTTAAGTACAGTCAAAAACTGTTGTGTTGAGGTTGAAGGGACCTACGTAATTACGCGAGTTACGCGAGGTTCGACACAACTGAAAATGATGAATAGATTTGGAATACACAAGGACCATGCTTTTGCTTCTGGAAAACCATAAGTTAGACACAACAGTGTTTGACTGTTTACTGACATAAATTGGAATGTTTTTATACCGATTGAGATTTTGGGCCGAACATTGGTCTCTGAGCAGATAAACCCTGCTGTTGCTGCATTATGCTAGTGCTTACTTTGAGGACCCTAACAAGTCCTTAATATTTCAGACATTTGCGCTGAATGTGGTAGCACTTTGAGCAATCTTTAGGGTGCGGATTTGGCGCATATAAAAATATGCTCTTTACATATCAGATAATGTGTTTGTATCAGTATCATACAATATTTTTTTCCAACAGGATCGGAACTACAAAGAAAGGAATAGGCCCGGCTTATTCCTCTAAGGTAAGTACAGTCTGAAATGTGAAGCACAAATATCTCAAATATTTGGTAAATTGAAAAATTACTTTCTATGCATAGAGACCTGAAATATATATTGGTTTATTAATAATAAGAATGTGTCCACTTCAGTTAAGTGTATTGATGCATGGAATTTATGAAAATATGACTATATGCACATCGTCAATACTTTACAAGTTTGTATGTACTATGCCCCTCCTGCATCCATGGACGTTTCACAGTGAAATTGCTATTTATAACCACTAACAAATCACATGACGACCTTGTAAGAACAAGAGGTAAACCAAAGAGTGATCAGACCAAGAGTGCTGAGATATAATCTCACAAACAGCAGTGTTCTCACTTGACACCGTCTGCTCTACACTTTGCTTCAGTGTCAGACAAGGGAGGTAGTGTTAGCACAAAATTCATGCTCATTTGACTTCTGAGACTATTACTCTGCCTGATAGACAAATGTAGGGTATATTTAACCATGAAGAGCAAAGATGCATTACAATACTTATAAGTTATGGTTCATTAGTAGATTTAAAGAGCTCATTTCAACCGTGCTTTTGTCATGCTTTGTGATGGTTTGATCTGATTTTCTGAAATTTCAAATAATCAGCAGTATAGGTGGCCCAGTTGCCAAAGGCACTGCAGTTTATTTGCAGAGTTGCAGACTTGCCAGAAACGTATGATCGTGGGTTGGAGTCACTGTTCACTCTCATGTTTTTAGTTTTTTTTGGCACCATGCCTGTGGAAAATGTCCTGTATCACTTTGGCTTCCTCCCACATCAAGATGACACGCTGTGATGTAATGGATGTGTTGTTTAAAGTGGTTTTAAGTCAAACTTACTCACACTTACGTTTGAAACACATGTATAAACATTGTCTGTGTTTTGTTCACAGGCCACAAGGAATGGACTCCGCGTGTGCGACTTGATGGGCGAATTTGAAACCTTCTCAGAAAAGTAAGTTGCCGCCATTGTGCAGACTGTATTTTCACACTGCACAAGTTGGGACGTTCACTTGCGATTCCCTTGACATTTAAAATTTTGCCATGGAAACGATATTATATATTTGATTCCAGATTCCGTAATCTGGTGGAGCATCATAAGCGCCTCTGTCCCGACCTTGATGTGGACGCTGATGCCGAATTAAGCAAGTATAAAGTAAGTTGTGCCTGGCCACAGTTGTCTCCCCTTTGTTGACGTGCCAAGTCAACCTTTGAACTTCCGACCATTGTATCATGTCTATTATCACCTGTTGTATGTTGTGTGTTTTGACATAAACTGGAACTTGAAGAAACAGTGAGACCGACTGTGTCGACTACCATGGATCAAGATTTCCATATTAGGTCCAGTCTTGTGTGTCGTCCTGTACACTTGATCCTTGAAAAAGACTTTATCATCGCAGACTTGTGTTCCTCAGTCCAATCAACATTGGTCGTGGGTTTGGCTATAACCCCAAAATGTCATCTCTTTGCCTGTTCCCAAGAATTTGACATTGTTGTAGATGCCCAAAACCTGTTCCCGACTTTCACATTGTGGTAGATGCCCAAGACCTGTTCCCGAGAGTTTCACATTGTGGTAGATGCCGAAGATCTGTTCCCGTGAGTTTCACATTGTGGTAGATGCCGAAGATCTGTTCCCGTGAGTTTCACATTGTGGTAGATGCCAAAGATCTGTTCCCGAGAGTTTGACATTGTGGAAGATGCCCAAGATCTGTTCCCGTGAGTTTCACGTTGTGTTAGATGCCCAAGATCTGTTCTCGAGAGTTTGACATTGTTGTAGATGTCCAAGATCTGTTCTCGAGAGTTTGACATTGTTGTAGATGTCCAAGATCTGTTCTCGAGAGTTTGACATTGTTGTAGATGTCCAAGATCTGTTCCCGTGAGTTTCAAGTTGTGGTAGATGCCCAAGACCTGTTCACAAGAGTTTCATGTTGTGGTAGATGCCCAAGTCCTATTCCCGTGAGTTTCACATTGTGTTAAATGCCCAAGACCTGTTCCCGTGAGTTTCACATTGTGGTAGATGCCCATGACCTGTTCCCGTGAGTTTCACATTGTGGTAGATGCCAAAGGCGTGTTCCCGTGAGTTTCACGTTGTGTTAGTTGCCCAAGATCTGTTCTCGAGAGTTTCACATTGTTGTAGATACCCAAGACCTCTTCCCGAGAGTTTCACATTGTGGTAGATGCCCAAGACCTGTTCCTGAGAGTTTGACATTATGGTAGATGCCCAAAACCTGTTCCCGAGAGTTTGACATTGTGGTAAATGCCCAAGACCTGTTCCCGAGAGTTTCACATTGTTGTAGATACCCAAGACCTGTTCCCGAGAGTTTCACATTGTGGTAGATGCCGAAGATCTGTTCCCGTGAGTTTCACATTGTGGTAGATGCCAAAGATCTGTTCCCGTGAGTTTCACATTGTGGTAGATGCCCAAGACCTGTTCCCGAGAGTTTCACATTGTGGTAGATGCCCAAGACCTGTTCCCGAGAGTTTGACATTATGGTAGATGCCCAAAACCTGTTCCTGAGAGTTTGACATTGTGGTAAATGTCCAAAACCTGTTCCCGAGAGTTTCACATTGTTGTAGATACCCAAGACCTGTTCCCGAGAGTTTCACATTGTGGTAGTTGCCCAAGATCTGTTCCCGTGAGTTTCACATTGTGGTAGATGCCAAAGATCTGTTCCCGTGAGTTTCACATTGTGGTAGATGCCCAAGACCTGTTCCCGAGAGTTTCACATTGTGGTAGATGCCCAAGACCTGTTCCCGAGAGTTTGACATTATGGTAGATGCCCAAAACCTGTTCCTGAGAGTTTGACATTATGGTAGATGCCCAAAACCTGTTCCTGAGAGTTTGACATTGTGGTAAATGCCCAAGACCTGTTCCTGAGAGTTTCACATTGTGTTAGATGCCCTAGTCCTGTTCCTGAGAGTTTCACGTTGTGTTAGATGCCCTAGTCCTGTTCCTGAGAGTTTCACATTGTATTAGAGGCCCATGACCTGTTCCCGTGAGTTTCACATTGTGTTAGATGCCCAAGACGTGTTCCCGGGAGTTTCACATTGTGTTAAATGCCCAAGTCCTGTTCCTGAGAGTTTCACATTGTGTTAGATGCCCAAGACGTGTTCCCATGAGTTTCACATTGTGGTAGATGCCCAAGATCTGTTCCCGAGAGTTTCACATTGTGGTAGATGCCCAAGATCTGTTCCCGTGAGTTTCACATTGTGGTAGATGCCCAAGACCTGTTCCCGAGAGTTTGACATTATGGTAGATGCCCAAAACCTGTTCCTGAGAGTTTGACATTGTGGTAAATGCCCAAGACCTGTTCCCGAGAGTTTCACATTGTTGTAGATACCCAAGACCTGTTCCCGAAAGTTTCACATTGTGGTAGATGCCCAAGATCTGTTCCCGTGAGTTTCACATTGTGGTAGATGCCAAAGATCTGTTCCCGTGAGTTTCACATTGTGGTAGATGCCCAAGACCTGTTCCCGAGAGTTTCACATTGTGGTAGATGCCCAAGACCTGTTCCCGAGAGTTTCACATTGTGGTAGATGCCCAAGATCTGTTCCCGAGAGTTTGGCATTGTGGTATATGCCCAAGACCTGTTCCCGAGAGTTTGACATTATGGTAGATGCCCAAAACCTGTTCCTGAGAGTTTGACATTGTGTTAGATGCCCTAGTCCTATTCCTGAGAGTTTGACATTGTGGTAAATGCCCAAGACCTGTTCCCGAGAGTTTCACATTGTGGTAGATGCCCAAGATCTGTTCCCGAGAGTTTGGCATTGTGGTATATGCCAAAGACCTGTTCCCGAGAGTTTGACATTATGGTAGATGCCCAAAACCTGTTCCTGAGAGTTTCACGTTGTGTTAGATGCCCTAGTCCTATTCCTGAGAGTTTGACATTGTGGTAAATGCCCAAGACCTGTTCCTGAGAGTTTCACATTGTGGTAGATGCCCTAGTCCTGTTCCTGAGAGTTTCACGTTGTGTTAGATGCCCTAGTCCTGTTCCTGAGAGTTTCACATTGTATTAGAGGCCCATGACCTGTTCCCGTGAGTTTCACATTGTGTTAGATGCCCAAGACGTGTTCCCGGGAGTTTCACATTGTGTTAAATGCCCAAGTCCTGTTCCTGAGAGTTTCACATTGTGTTAGATGCCCAAGACGTGTTCCCGTGAGTTTCACATTGTGTTAGATGCCAAAGACCTTTTCCTGTGAGTTTCACATTGTGTTAGATGCCCAAGTCCTATTCCTGAGAGTTTCACATTGTGTTAGATGCCCAAGACGTGTTCCCGTGAGTTTCACATTGTGTTAGATGCCAAAGACCTGTTCCTGTGAGTTTCACATTGTGTTAGATGCCCAAGTCCTATTCCCATGAGTTTCACATTGTCTTAGATGCCCAAGACGTGTTCCTGTGAGTTTCACATTGTCTTAGATGCCCAAGATCTTTTCCTGTGAATTTCATTTGTGGTAGATGCCCAAGATCTGTTCTCGAGAGTTTCACATTGTTGTAGATGCCAAAGACGTGTTCCCGAGAGTTGCACATTGTGGTAAATGCCCAAGACCTGTTCCCGTGAGTTTCACATTGTGTTAAATGCCCAAGACCTGTTCCTGTGAGTTTCATATTGTGTTAGATGCCCAAGCGCGTTCCCGAGAGTTTCATATTGTGTTAGATACCCAAGACCTGCATCATATTGTAGTTTCCTCCAAATTAAGTGCTGTACCAAAACATAAATATTTATCGAAGTGACGTTCAGCCCAGCTCAGTTGCTCTTTGTTTCCCAAAAGATTCCTTTGCCACACTTCCCTGTCATGGAATTTGCTGTTTTTGTACCATTAAACAAATGACACTTGATGTCTATTTCTGGTGTCCTCCAGCAAAAAGCTGTGTAAAACCACTAAATATTTATGTCTACATGTACCAAGTGCATCTAAAAGAACACAATTTGTGTCTTACTAACCCTTACTTGTCCACATAACAACGATGTTTGAACCAACTCAGTTCCTCTTAAGTTTTATTGACCATATGGTACATAAGTAGTTGCTATATATGTGTAATTCATCACACAGTGATCAGAGATCTGAGATTGTACTTATTTAGATCAGCTTATGCATCTGTGTTTGAACTTTGTTAAATTTATGAGACGAGGGTGCAAACTGGTTTTGTCTGGTCTAACTAGCTTTTCATGTCAACATGTATCTGGGGCAAATTAAGTCAAGTTCCTTAAATTGAACCCTGATATACGTACTGTTATGTTCACAGAAGGTAGGATTAATGTACTGAGATAACAATATAGCGAGGAACCCCATGGGATCAGTGGGAGAGAATCTAGTTAGGTACAGTGAACGTAGAGTGATGGGTGTTATAACAAAGAGCTGACTAGGTCAACAATATGACAGCAAAATAATCATGGCGTCCAATGCGAGCAGTGATTGGTTACAGCACACAACATTAATCTGACCTTGTGGGAACATATCAAGAGCTCCAGATAAGCTGCGTATCTGCGTAAAATACGCATCAGACATGCAGAAATACGCAGTAAAATAAAATCCAAGCATATCAAATATGCAACGAACATTACAGATACGCTACAAAAATAAAACTTGTGCATATCATCAAAATATTGTGAAGTAACCCTGCATATTCGATTAGCATATCAGCAACTTATTTTGAAATTATAACCGGGCATTCCGTCAAACTTGCCAAACTCCATGATGACAGTTACATCATGATCATTTGCCATCACACTTTCTTGTAGAAGTATCATGGTATTTTTGAGTGCTATAAAGCTCTCGAACCCACACGACACCAGTTTGCAGGGACTTGATGAATAGTGTTTTTAAATGCTTTACTTAAATACCCACATGTGTAAAAACTAGTGGGTAACAGAAATTTGAATACCCAGATAGAATTACTGATACCCAATGGTTTTAAAATGCATGGGTAAAATACCCACAGCACCAAAAGCTTATCTGGAGCGCTGATATCTGTATATATATATTAACTCAATACGCTTCTTAGTATTCAAGTGATTAGGGGTACCTTCTGAATGCCTCTCAAAGACTTTACTCTTCATTTGTTGAAGGAGAAGACGGAATGGGATTGGGTGGTTTCAGTGTGTGACCTTGCTTATTGTGTAATGTCATATACCGACAGTAGACCGTTATTCATGCTATCAACCACTGGTTAAAACAACTTGTCAGTTTTCAGGTTTTGCTTGATATGAATAAGAGCCTTCAGTTATTCAATATAAAGGTATCACTTGTGTTGTTTAGAAAACATGGTTACAACCTCTATCCATATCGTTTCAAAAATTATCTTTGTATCTTGGGTGAACATGGTATTTATGGATGAAAAAGGATGAAAAGTTGTTTTCAAGGTTCAGTCACTGTCACATCTACTTGTTCCATCTACCAGCTTGTGTATAGTAACTTTGGGAAACTCATCTCTCTTTGTCAATCAACAAAAATATCAACAGTGCCTCCAAATATTACACTGAAGTTGTGATTTTTTCAACATGTTCCCTTTAAAATAATCTGAAGTTTTTTCTTGGATGAGTGCATTTGGTATGTCGGCGAAATGCTGCGGAATCATGCCAATGATTGTTGGGTTTAGTTAGAAACTGCATGTATTTTCCCTACCATTTTACAACTCATATCTTCAAGGATTGATTTTGTGCTCAGCCTTTTTTTCTGCAAGTACTAGGTCACTGCACATTCCTCAAGTGTGTCCATTTTTCAAAGCAACAGTGTCACAGTGAAACAATTTGCTGAAGTGACTCAAGTTTTTTGTGGATATACCTCTGACATCTTGTGATGGCCACAACAAAGATGTAACCATTACACAATTTCTTCTATGTGAGGCTTAAAATTTATCAATCAACCCTCACATGTGCAGAAGCATCTTGGATTCCTATTACATACATACAGTGACTCGGACTGTATTCAACACTGTGCATACCACTGCATCGTGAACATAAAATTCCCAGACATTTTTCAATGATTTTCTTCCTTTAGGCCACACTTATTGAATTTATTTTTCACAGATTTATTCCAGCTTTTCCACACAAGGTTGGTCAAAATAAAAATAAAAATGAAAAAAAATATCTAGATCTATGTCAATCATTGATTATTTATTTATAGTCATTCTGCCATGGAGTAAAAACTACAGCTGGCTTCTTGAATCACTGCGTGTGATTTAGACATTGAATTTATATATAATATTTTTTATTGTATAAGAGGTCTATATTATGAGCAGGAGACATAATACAAATAAATATTTTAATGTTTAATTATTTTTTTTCTTGGACCGTGAAATGAAAAAAGTAATAAATGCGTGGCTTTGCAGTGTTCTTTTGTTCAGATTTTATAATTTGTTCGTCTGCATATTTTTTATAGGAACATCACTGTCAGGATTAATTTGGTTTCACTGTGTGTATATATATACCTATATATATATAGGTCACAATTGCAAATGCACTTGGTGTGAATGTATTACGACTAAACTGGTCAATGCAGTGATCAGCAGGGATTTTAGCAACATCTGAACCTCTTCCATTAGAGCCGATGTTTGAGTTTATTAATGTAACTTGCTGTTTGCAGGCAAACCTGACATTGTGGTGTAGATTTCAAATGGTGCTATTTTGTTTCAGGAGCTACGAGAAAAGATTCGACCAATGGTCACCGATACAATCTACTACTTGAACAAATGTCTGAAGGAGGGGAAGAATGTGTTGATAGAAGGAGCCCAGTCTACTATTCTGGATATAGACTTTGGTATGTTCATTTCTTGTCTTTCATTACATTGACCTTGGTGACAGAACAGTCAGGCTTTGTTGATCTTGGGTTTGAATTCCATTTTCCCTGATCACTATCCTTAAAAAGGTTTGCACATGCCTTGAAAATGCCTGGAATTGAGGTTTGCCCTTTAAAGGCCTTAAATCTGATTATTAATTTGTAAATCTAGAAATGACATGCGTGGAAAGTCATGAAAATGTTTAGGCAGGCATTGAATCATTTGTCATGTGAACATATTTTGAAAATATGAAACCCTGGAGAAAAGAATGTTACTTTTGGCAACACAATAAGTAAACAGTCAAGGCCTTAGAGTTACCTCCCTTCTTCAATCAGCAGGGGATGATAACTCTGTTTTCTTGTTATCTATCATTTGTCAGCACCATACCCCTGCTCTTGGGTTTCACCACCCTGGTAAACCTGCATCACTTCGGGCGCTCCTCCCTCAAGCTGACAAGACATGGTACATCGGAGATGTTGTTCGAAGCAGTAGTAAAACCCAACTCACACACTACTAAAAAACATACATTTCTTATGTGTTAATGTATGATGTTAAATATATGACTTCATGGTTAGAATAGGTCCCCAGCAACCTACACTAGTTGTAAAGTTGGTTGGTTTGTTGTTTTACGCCGCACTCAGCAATATTCTAGCTATATGACGGCGGTTTAGTAAAAAAATGAGCCTGGACCAGACAATCAAGTGATCCACATCATGAGCATCAATCCACAAAATTGAGATTGATGACATGCTTCAACCAAGTCAGCGAATCTGACCACCCGATCCCGTCATTCGCCTCTTACGACAAGCATAATCGCCTTTTACGGCAGGCATGGGTTGCTTAAGACCTATTCTCCCTCCGATCTTGGCGGGTCACAAGTCGTAAAGAAGCAACCCAATCACACAATTCTCTGGTCCAGACTTAGTTATATACGGGCCGCCGTCACATAGTTAAAATATTGGTGGTGTGGGGCGATATACATTCAAAAGTTCATGATGAGCTTCTTGTATCAATTAATCCTGTGGAGTAACTGATGACTGACTGCATGTCATTGTGACCTGATAGTGCATTGCTAGTCACTGGTTTGGCTGGTCCAGACTCAATTATTTACAGGCTGTCGTGATAAAGCTGGAGAACTGCTGTGGCAACGCCATGGACTCCCTCCCCCTCCCAAAGCAGAATGTCCTAAGGGATCAAATGTTGGAGAAGCCATTTCTGACTAAGTCACAACATGTGGCCTAACTGGTTATGTGTCACTCACCCAGCACTGTGGATCATTGATCATGCTATCAACCACTTGTTTGTCTTGTCCAGACATGATTACGTGATATATTGCTGACCCTGGCAATAAACTACACTCACTCACTAACTCTACATCTGTTGCTGTCTTGTAGGGTTGTACACATGCGGATGGTGCCCCGACATAATTACATCAAATACATGGAATATTGGTGACCCTGGCAATAAACTTCATTCACTCACTAACTCTACATCTGTTGCTGTCTTGTAGGGTTTTACCCTCACGTGATGGTGCCCGACATAATTACATGATATTACTGACCTTAGCATTAAACAACATTCACTAACTCTACATCTGTTGCTGTCTTGTAGGGTTGTACCCATACGTGACCTCGTCCAACTGCAGCGTGGGTGGCGTGTGTACAGGCCTCGGGATCCCACCCCGCAATGTGGGGAAGGTGTTCGGCGTGGTCAAGGCGTACCTCACCCGGGTAGGCACAGGGGGCTTCCCCACAGAGCTCAAGGAGGTAGGTTCTTGTCACTGAAGGTATGCCTTGAATAAATCCACTGAAGTGAGGGCTCAGCTCATGTACCCCACAAAGCTATGATCCCACGATATTGTAGATATTTTGTACCGCCCATCGTTTCTGAGCATCAAGCATCCACATTGAAAAGAGTGTATGTATGTGGCTGTATGGATTCTCAGGGGGTAGAATAGAATACTAACGGGATCGGGTGGTCAGGCTCTCTGACTTGGTTGATGCTTATCATTGTATCCCAATTACGTGGATGGATGCTCATGATGTTAATCACTGGATTGATTGGTCCAGACTCAATTTTTTTACAGACCGCTGTCTCATAGTTGGAATATTGCTGAGTGCGGTGTTAAACAACAAACAAATGTATTGATGGAGGAACGTAATGTGTATTGAAGTATTGACGATGAAGTGTGTTGTTTGTTTATGCCACTAATGTGAGTCTGCTGGTCCTTTTGGACTGATTTACGTGGTCGCACTGAGTGACTGTTGGGACCAGGATGATGACAGTCACCTGGAGCATTGCGTTCTCCAGGAATGGATTGTTGGTCATGCTATTGACCATTGGAAGGGGGGCTGGGTGGTTAGGCTTTGTGTACAGGGCAAGACAAGGATACCAGTATCCCATGTGACATTTGTTAGGTTCAGATCGTTGCAATGTGTTCGTTGTTTGTCATCGTAACCCGACAGTTGGAGTGTGATTATTGAATTTCTTACGTATCTGTTCAGGAAAAAGGGAAATTGTTGTTGGACCGAGGCCACGAGTACGGTGTGACAACTGGCCGACCGAGGCGGTGTGGATGGCTGGACGCTGTCATGCTGAGATACTCCAACATCATCAACGGCTTCACAGCGTGAGTGTCAACAATTACATACTTCCTCAGAGGCGGTCGGGGAGCCTAGTGGTTAAAGCGTTCGCTCGTCACGCCGAAGACCCGGGTTCGATTCCCGACATGGGTACAATGTGTGAAGCCCATTTCTGGTGTCCCCCGCCGTGATATTGCTGGAATATTGCTAAATATCACTCACATACTTCCCCAGAGTCCAGGCTGAAAAAGGTCCCCTTTCCTTCATGCTTGTGGGATGGTAAGGTCAGCAGGATGGGATGAATTCCAGGTTCACCCAACGTTTGATACTTCATGATAACATTGGTATATGTCCTATATAACACAAATTTGGAAAGTTTTGAGAACGGACAGTTTTTTCTCACTTTGAGTTTGTTAACATGGTTGACTTATATTAGTATTAATGAAATACATTCCAGATTAATGGAAAACACATTTATTTGCCATTTAAATGAAAAAAAATAGTTATTTCATTTTCCTCTTTACTGTGCTCATCATGCATACCAACAATACAGTTTAGAAAATGTTTCCTTTTATTTAAACCGACCACCTCCGTGGAGAACGGAAGGTCGGGTGTTTGGCTGTGTCTGAGTGGGGTATTTATGTTAAACTGCGGCATGGTATCTCAGTAGGCTAGTCACTATAAACTTGGCATAAGTCCGGAAAAGTACAAGTGCTACACACACACGTGCATGCACGTCACTATATAAGTGCAATATTCTTGAGCGGAATGAGTTACACCCCATTTCACCCTTCCTTATATTTTTACCCCAGATCCCAATGGTTTTGATTACCCTGACACACCCACCCACCCACACACACACACACACACACACACACACACACACACACACACACACACACACACACACACACACACACACACACACACACACACACACACACACACATTTCCCCCACATTTGACAAATGGTGATATATGTTCAAGAAAACACATTTTTGTTCATGTTGTTCTTACATGGTAATATTTCATTGCAGAGTTGCAGTTACGAAATTAGACATTCTGGATGTGTTCGATGAGATCAAGATTGGAATTGCGTATTACATTGACGGAAAGAAACTGGATACCTTTCCGGGTAAGACTATTCATAACTAGATTTTCAGTGTAATTTCAGTATGGTCTTTATGTTGAGAATACAGTCCAAGATTATTTACGTGGATGGTACAGTTATCATGGAAATTGTCAACATTGACTCACTCTTCCAAGAGCTAGAATGCATTATAAATAAAGAAATTCATAATGGGGAGATCAAGATTAAAACTAGTGCCCAGCACTCTATGGCTTGTAAGATGGATCAGGTGGTCAGACTCCTAGTATTAATGTATCCCTTGAGGGGAGTAGAGTAGCCTAGTGGTTAAAGTGTTTTCTCTTCATGCAGAGGCCCCAGCCTAACCGTGAAGTTGCGGGAACATTGCTAAAAGCCATACTCAAACCATACTCACTCACTCACATAGCCCTTGGAGATTCCCCTATAACATCAGCCATTTGTCAGAGCCGACAAAAGCGACTTCAGGGGTCAGACTCGGTGACCCGGTTGATTGCGTAGTACGCTGACAGTGTGGGACATTGCTCATACTATCAACCACTAGTTTTTCTGGCTTTACCAGAGCTACAGATAAGCCGCGTATTTGCTTAAAATACCCCCCAAAACTATTCAAAACCCAATTACTTTCAATTAACTTGCGTACAGAAATGCATGTATTAAATGGAAAACTCAATTGTTTGAAAACAGCACACGTAAATACCCATTGAATCTTTTTCAGCACGTGTACAACAGCTAATTTCCAAAACACAATTACGAGCTAATTTACTTTCCAAGTCAAGCCTATATTTAGAACCATTATATTACATCTAAAACATTATTTCATTTTTTTTTTTTAAATCTGAAAATGTTACACATTTTGGGAAGAACCCAATAGAATGATGAATAGAGGAGTGAAAAAATATTAGTTACCCAAGTAATATCACAAATAAAATAGAAACCTTTGAGTAAAAACTCAACTGCTCAAAAAGTTATCTGGAGCTCTGCTACTTAATATGCTGCAAATGTTATACTACAATTGTTCAGTACTGGTGCACACTAATGTATGTAAATGGTATGCCTTGTGTCCCCAGCATCTGATGAAGATCTACTGAAAGTTGAGGTGGAGTATGTCACTCTACCAGGGTGGAAGTCCAACACGGAAAACATCCGCACACTTGCAGACCTCCCTAAGAACGCCCTCAATTATGTCCGAAAGATAGAAGAGCTGGTTGAAATCCCAGGTAATTACTGGTGTGATGATCCTCCATTGGGGACAGAGTAGCTGTACTATCCATAGCAGGGTGTTGACAGTTGCAGGAACATTGATACAAGATGGCTCAGGTTGCAGAATGTGTGTATGTGTCCATTATTATTTTAATGGAAATCATTCACTTATTGCAGAGACTGTCCGTAAAACAACAATCACTCACTTACAAGACTGTCTATAAAACAGCATTCACTTTCTTGCAGACTGTCTATAAAACAACATTCACTCATTTGCAAGACTGTCTATGAAACAACATTCACTTTCTTGCAGACTGTCTTTAAAACAACATTCACTCACTTGCAAGACTGTCTATGAAACAACATTCACTTTCTTGCAGACTGTCTTTAAAACAACATTCACTCCCTTGCAAGACTGTCTATAAAATAACATTGACTCACTTGTAAAACTGTCTGGTAAAACACATCTTCCCAAGGCAAGGGAGTTAACTGACTATAAAAGTCGAGTTTCCACCCTTGCCGGAACTAGGTTGGAATTATGGAGTTATGTTTTGGCTGGACTAACGAGTCTTTGCATAGTCCAATCAAAATTGCGTAACAAAATCAGCATCCTGTTCAAAAACTGGCGCGCAGATTTCGGTCGATTGTAGGATTTGCAAAGCGTGTGTACTGCTTTCCAAATCTTTTCATGTTTTAATCAAGGTGCTACGTGATTTGATGCACTTCGCGAAGTAAGTCCTGTTATATTACAGAAATAGATCTTGATTGTTGATCAGCTTGTCTTCACTGGGCGCCACCATTTTGTTTGAACAAATGTGACATCAGAGGTGGAATCTGATTGGTCAATAGGAGGGAATTAGAAGGGAGATAACTCGAAACAGCCACTGGTGGCGCTACGATCGAACCCAGAAATTCTGGCCGAGGCAAGGGTGGAAACTGGACTTTTACAGTCAGTTAACTCCCCTGCCCCGGGAACATGGGTAAAACAGCATTCACACAGTTGTAGCCCAGGTGGTTTACAGTATATATCCCTGGAGAAGTCTATGCCATGATTTCAGTGAGTGATGATGAACTAACCAAAGGTGGCATCAGCTGACTCACAGACAAAACTGACAATGCCGTTCTCTCCTATTTGATCTTCTTCCTGTTCCATTTAATCGGCACATGAAAATCCTGGGTAAAATAGGTCTTCAGCAACCCATGCTTGATGTAAAAGGCGACTATGATTGTCAGGAGAGGCGTCTTGCGGGACTGGGTGGTCAGGCTCGCTGACTTGGTGTCATCCTATCCCAATTTTGTAGATCAATGCTCATGATGTCAATCACTGGCTTGTCGGGTCAAAACTCGATTATTTACAGACAGCCGTCATATAGCTTGAATATTGCTGAGTGCTGCATTAAACAGCAAACAAACAAACAACCATTTAATCAATGTTCAAAATCCTGAAATGTGAAGCATTTGAATCAAGGGACCAACTCAGCAGCTAACATTATGACGAGGACCCTTTGACTTTCATTCAAACATTTCTTATTTCACAGATTTAAAGTATTCGCATGAGCTAAAACAATGATAATAATAATACAAAAATTGTTATGTTGCCTAATAAATGCTCTCGATATAACCCTTTTCTGGTATCCTCCACCGTGATATTGCTGGAATATTGCGTAAAATCATACATACTCACTATCGATATGAAGTGTGAGCAAGAGATTTGAAATATGTATCCCTTTCAAACAAACCTCTTTTTCATTTTCCAAAATTTTAGGCAGGCTCATCTGTTTCAGAAGTAATATCAATTTTGGTAAATGCAGGAGAAGGGTTACCATGGGTACATATCTATATTAATCTTCCTCCCTTTGTTCCAGTTTGGTGGATTGGCGTAGGCAAAGATCGAGAGTCCATCATTGAGCTTCAAGGTCAATGACATCTACAAAGTGTACATATCTGAATCGTCTGTTACTGCTGACCGAGCCACGTGTGGATGGATGCCATGCTCGACCTTCACCATCTTATCTTCGTATGCGATGGATGATTTGCTTTGTCATGTATAAACGTGACCGATTTTATGTGTATTTGAGAGATATTTTATAGTAGAGGTCATTATTTTTGAGTGGGACAATATTGAAAGGTTTAAATATATATGTATGTTGCATTTAATGATTTTTAAATTCCTTCACAGAGTTCTCAAAGAGCTTTGGATTTTTTTTCTGAATATTCATCTTGCTGTGGGTGGTTCCTCATGGGTTTGATCCTTTACTTAGTGAGACAAGAGGCCTTTTCTGTTACAATAACCATGTAAATGTAATATCTAAAACCATTTCTTGTACTTACACGACTCCTCACCACTACGTTCCCTTTTTCCATAGTACAGTTCTGCTGGAGTAGCACAGTATGATTGAGGAATTATCAGAGAATGATTGAGGAATTATCACTGAATGATTGAGGAATTACCACAGAATGATTGAGGAATCAAGCAGCACTTTTGCAGAATTACTGTTCTATACTGGTTTGGTTCTGCGCCAAGAAAAGTGGTAACTACTTCTGAGCAGTAGTGTATTGCTCCTACCAACAGAGAGTGTACCATATACCAGATGACTGTCTTTAGGGAAGAATCATGCCTGTCTTGAGGAAAAGTCACTATATGGCTGAAATAATGCCAATGCAATGTTAAATTTTAACTCACTCACTCACTTTAGGAAAGAATTAGGTTATTTGGCATAAAAAGGATGACTGTTTTCAAATTCAATTAGCATGAATGATTGCTCTTGCTAACAACCGCTGGTTGATGGTCATGATTCAGTGATTCAATGATTCAGTGATTCAGTGACCCCTCCCGGGCCCTGTACCTCGTATCGGGAAGCAGCTGGTCACAATGTTATGTTCACCAAATGTGAGATAAACATAAATCGGTGATCTTTCACTATTCCCAAGTTCTGACTTACAAATGGCCATTATTGTTGCTGAAATGTTAACTATCACACAAAAACCTATTCATTCACACTACTACCTGTAATGTTCAGTATTGATCGCCACAACAATCGTTATCCTTTCACTATGCAGGGCTCGATTTAGCTATTTTAAACATGCATCAGTGCAACCTATTACTGAAAAATGCAATCTATTATTAATGTACTTGCAGCAAGTGCATGACACAAATTAATATGTGTCTGACTAGCCCTTAATTATTTACAATTATTTAACATTAATCTTTGGACCCAATACCTCCAATCTCATTAAAATCAGACCTTAGTTCTCGCTACCGCTAACAAAGATCTGAAGACATCCCATTAGGGGTCAGGTCAGAACAACCTTTCATCCAACCAATCAGTGCGTCGCTTACCAAATTATGAAAGTGACAGTCGGAATGTGATTTCTAATCATGCAATCTCGAAAACTTTAACATGGGGTATTCCGAACGATAGTTACAGGCTTAAGGACTGAATCCTTACAATCTAGACCATCTATTAGCCATTCCAGAATGTTTTTTTTGTTCAGGTTTCAAATTTGTAATCGAGAATTTGTCAAAATATGTCTCGAAGCATAGTCGCCAATTTGAAATTTGTGCCATAAAGCTGCCTTCTGATTGGTCATTCCATTGGTCGGTCAAAGTTCGCGCAAGGTCGGTCTGACGTGACCCGTAATGGGATGCCCTCAGATCTTTGTTTCGCGGTAGCGAGAACTAAGATCTGATTTTAATGAGATTGACAATACCTCTAAGCTATAGTTACCATACTATATCACCAATCCCAGTGTTATGTGTAATTTGTCATGCTTTCTTGAGCTTGATGTCTTCAAACTGTGGGTACTTTAAGATTATGTGCACATGCCCATAATACTAACAGCATTATGTCATTATTTCACTGTCAGTGGCACCAGACTGGCCTATGTTCCAACTTATAAACAATCGTGCAACCTGTCTAGTGCAGCTAGGTTTTCATGTCAATATGAACCTGGTGCACGTAAATCCAGTTCCTTAAATCAAGCCCTCCATGGACTCAGTCATCGACATAACTTTGGGCATTCCTCCCATATCAAGCTGACATGCCTTAAATGTGACAGAAATACTGTTCAAGCAGTGTTAAATCAAAACTCCTGGTGGAAAATGCCATTGAGAGTCAGCAAATAGTCTTTTCCCATGGGATTCAGTACAGTACATTTAGAAAACTTGCAAATACAGTTTCAGTGATTGGAGCAATTTGATCTTTTTCTTGAAGGTGGGATGAGCATGCTTGAGAAGTAGTGCTTACAATGTAGTGTTCACGACATGCAAACAGTAGTTTTTTAATGAGATGACATCTTAGCTGTACATACCTTGACTTTTAATTGCTCTGTGGCAGTGGAATCAGGACTGATAATTAGCCAGACTATTAGCTGTGTACTCGGGGCCCCATATTGGTGAATTATATCAGTCATTTTGTAATGGAGCTTTCTTTCTTTTTGGTAACAGATTAAAATCATAGCCATGGTAACATATATTTTCCTCTTCATTGAATTAACTGTGGTCTTTTAGGATAGATCTGAAAACTTCAACCAGGTTTCTGTACCTGTCACGGATGAGTGTTCAAAAATGCTTTTAAGTCAAATCTTGCCACCATTGACTTCTTCTAAGATAATGAAATTTGAAACTTGTGACTTGTGATTATATTGTTGTTTTTGTTACAATTTTACTGCCAAGTTCATTAAGTAAAAAATTACATATGACAATGGGATCACTGGATTCTTTCATATTACTATAGTTAATCTTAGTCAAATTAGTAACATGAAATACATCCAGTCTGTGTTTTTACACTTTTGATTCTCCTTATTAAAACATCTATGAAAAATTAGATAAAAATTATTGCCAGGATAGAGTATATGGTCTGGTTTTTTTACAGTTGAAAAACCTGACGATATCATCTTTTAAACAAGTTTACGAACTATTTTTACCAACAGGATTGACATCTCAGTTATTTGAGAATGTTTGATTTGTTCAAAATGTAGAACACCAGACACTATTCAATGAACACCATTCTAATAATATTGTGCAGTGATTTGCCATTATTTGTATAAGAAGATAGCAGAAATACATTTCTATGACATGACCTCTTTCAATATATCTTGTCTAATTTACTTCATATTGGAGCCAATTTTGATAGTTGTAAGACACTAATAAATTTGAATTTATTTTCACACAAATATTGACTTGTGTCTTTTTATTTGGCTTGCATCCCTTGTCAATTTGTCTTAGATCTTCAAGGGACATTATGTACTTTGGTGTCAAGGTATTTTATATGTTGGTGTCAGTGCATCATGCGCTTTGGAGTCAAGGTATTTTATATGTTGATGTCAGTGCATCACACACTTTGGTGTCAAGGTATTTTATATGTTGATGTCAGTGCATCATGCACTTTGGTGTCAAGGTATTTTATATGTTGATGTCAATGCATTATGCACTTTGGTGTCAAGGTATTTTATATGTTGGTGTCAGTGCATCATGCGCTTTGGTGTCAAGGTATTTTATATGTTGATGTCAGTGCATCATGCACTTTGGTGTCAAGGTATTTTACATGTTGGTGTCAGTGCATCATGCGCTTTGGTGTCAAAGTATTTGATATGTTGGTGTCAATGCATTATTCACTTTGGTGTCAAAGTATTTGATATGTTGGTGTCAATACATCATGCACTTTGGTGTCAAGGTATTTGATATGTTGGTGTCAATGCATCATGCACTTTGATGTCAAAGTATTTTATATGTTGGTGTCAATGCATTATTCACTTTGGTGTCAAAGTATTTGATATGTTGATGTCAATGCATTATGCACTTTGGTGTCAAAGTATTTGATATGTTGGTGTCAATGCATTATGCACTTTGGTGTCAAAGTATTTGATATGTTGGTGTCAATACATTATGCACTTTGATGTCAAGGTATTTGATATGTTGGTGTCAATACATCATGCACTTTGATGTCAAGGTATTTGATATGTTGGTGTCAATGCATCATGCACTTTGATGACAAAGTATTTTATATGTTGGTGTCAATGCATCATGCACTTTGGTGTCAAGGTATTTGATATGTTGGTGTCAGTGCATCATGCACTTTGGTGTCAAGGTATTTTACATGTTGGTGTCAGTGCATCATGCGCTTTGGTGTCAAAGTATTTGATATGTTGGTGTCAATGCATTATTCACTTTGGTGTCAAAGTATTTGATATGTTGGTGTCAATACATCATGCACTTTGGTGTCAAGGTATTTGATATGTTGGTGTCAATGCATCATGCGCTTTGGTGTCAAGGTATTTTATATGTTGATGTCAGTGCATCATGCACTTTGGTGTCAAGGTATTTTACATGTTGGTGTCAGTGCATCATGCGCTTTGGTGTCAAAGTATTTGATATGTTGGTGTCAATGCATTATTCACTTTGGTGTCAAAGTATTTGATATGTTGGTGTCAATACATCATGCACTTTGGTGTCAAGGTATTTGATATGTTGGTGTCAATGCATCATGCACTTTGATGTCAAAGTATTTTATATGTTGGTGTCAATGCATTATTCACTTTGGTGTCAAAGTATTTGATATGTTGATGTCAATGCATTATGCACTTTGGTGTCAAAGTATTTGATATGTTGGTGTCAATGCATTATGCACTTTGGTGTCAAAGTATTTGATATGTTGGTGTCAATACATTATGCACTTTGATGTCAAGGTATTTGATATGTTGGTGTCAATACATCATGCACTTTGATGTCAAGGTATTTGATATGTTGGTGTCAATGCATCATGCACTTTGATGACAAAGTATTTTATATGTTGGTGTCAATGCATCATGCACTTTGGTGTCAAGGTATTTTATATGTTGGTGTCAATGCATTATGCACTTTGGTGTCAAGGTATTTGATATGTTGATGTCAATACATCATGCACTTTGGTGTCAAGGTATTTGATATGTTGGTGTCAGTGCATCATGCACTTTGATGTCAAGGTATTTTATATGTTGGTGTCAATGCATCATGCACTTTGGTGTCAAGGTATTTGATATGTTGGTGTCAATGCATCATGCACTTTGATGTCAAAGTATTTTATATGTTGGTGTCAATGCATCATGCACTTTGGTGTCAAGGTATTTGATATGTTGGTGTCAATGCATCATGCACGTTGGTGTCAAGGTATTTTATATGTTGGTGTCAGTGCATCATGCGCTTTGGTGTCAAGGTATTTTATATGTTGATGTCAATACATCATGCACTTTGGTGTCAAGGCATTTTATATGTTGGTGTCAAGGCAATAGGACCTTTGGCGTCAAGGCATTATAAACATTGGCGTCAAGCATTATGTCCTTGGTGTCAAGACATTACATTCTGAGGTGTCATGGCTTTATAAACTTTGGTGTCAAGGCATTATAAACTTTGCCATCAAGGCATTATATTCTTTGGCGTCAAGCATTATGTCCTTTGGTGTCAAGGCATTACATTCTTTGGTGTCATGGCATTATAATCTTTGGCTTCAAGGCATTATGTATGTTTATGTCAAGGCATTATTAACTTTGGTGTCAAGGCATTATATATGCTGGTGTCAAGGCATTATGTACTTTGGTTTCAAAGCATAATGAACTTTGGCTTCAAGGCATTATATATGCTGGCGTCAAGGCATTATGAACTTTGGCATCCATGCATTGCATACTCTGGTGTCAAGGCAAGAAGACCTTTGGCTTCAGGGCATTAGAAACTTTGTCGTTAAGGCATAATATAAACTTTGGTGTCGAGGCATTGTATACTTTTATGTGCAGGTGGCCTAGTCATCTAAGGCACTGGAATTTGGAGTGCAAAGTTGCATGCATTAGTCATGCCAGAAACATAGGACTGTAGGCTCAAATTCCAAATTCACGATGCTTTGTGAGCATCGAACATGTGCTTGTGGGTTTCACCAGGTTTTAAATGTCAAAGACCAGCATCAATTCAGGCTTTCCTCTCAGATTATGTAGATATGCCATGCTATGGCTGAAATACTGTTACAAGCAGGGTATGGGGACAGAGCTAGGATAAGATACTCAAGGGACAACTAATGAATTCAGGTGGCTTGTTAATTTGAACTTGCACAATATATTAACCAAGGGCTTGGGTAAACCTAGTGGTTACAGTCGTCGCTTGTCACACTTAATTCCCAGTTCAATTCCCAACTATGTGAAGCCATACTCACTCACTCAAACCTTGGGTGTATTGTTACACTCTGAATTGCGGCTCTAGAATGCATGATAAACGATATATTTATGCACCTGGAAATAAATTAGGCACCACTTTATATGTCCCTGTACAGTCGAAACCCAGTATCTCGAACCTTGCGGTCCTGATGTAACTTGGATATATCC